AAATCTAAAATGTAAGATATGTCATGTAACTAAGTATGAAAAATATATTACAATTAAAAATAACATAATAAGAACCTCATGCCGTTATATTCTTGAGATGTTAAGACTTTAATCATCTGGAGACACTTATTTAGGTAGTTATGATACTTTATCCCTGAGGGACTTTATGACAGGCTTGAAATACTGCTTCAATAACACCCTAGGATGAGACAGAGGAAGAGGGAGCCATTTTAGGAAGGAATGCCCCCCGCTCTGGTTTCACTGAGCGAGAGAGTGTGAAAGAAAGAGAGAGATGATGATGATTTATAAAATTGTACTTTTTTTTAAAAATAAGGATTTGTCAAAATAACACAGACTAACATACTTTACTTATTATACACTGTCTGTTGTAGAATGAACCTCATCCTATATCAAATTCACCAGGCACAAAATTAATTACATTAGTTATTATTTGCTTGTTTGTTTGTTTGTTTACTTACTTATGTACTTAGATTTATTTAACGTAATTAAAAAATACAAAAATAATAAATAAATAAAAAAGCCCTGTGAATTAATGCCCTTCAATTTTATGACTTAATGATGAGGCTCTACAACAGAAAGTGTGTGAAGTATGTTAGTCTGTGTTTTACACAGAAAGAAAAAAAAAGAAAGAAAATCTCAACTCCTGGTAACATGTGCTGGTCTGCTCGCCTATAGATTATCTTTCCTATCATCATATGTTGGCATAGTGTGGATAGATGCTTGTGTGTCTGCCTAAATAATTGAATAACTGTCTGTCCTCATATGCTTGAATATCATCTGTGTATATACGCTGTATTTATATATATCCAGTATATGTGCTGGATTACTTAGACTTGAGGGGAAAATTTTATATATATAAATTAAGATAATGAATGCCTTAAATTATTTTGAAGGCAAGCACATGCATGTGGTTTCTCATGTATTTATGTGTATATATGTATGTCTATACATATGTTTGTGTGAGAATGTTTGCTAGCAACAAGCATGTTTAGCTGAGGCTAGTGAAAGTAAAACTGATGTGAAAATGTCTGACTGTGTACAGATGCCCAGTCTAGTGTGGAGACAGTCCGTCTGCCGGCCGACTGCCCTCCTGGAGACTCAAGAACATCCGATCCTCCTGTGGAGAGAGAGAGAGAGTGAGAGCAAAGGTGAGAAAATAGAGAGAGAAGGAGAGTGAGTGAGAGAGAGAGATATATATATAAGGGCTGGCATGTGAGTGGAATACATTCTAACACTTTTTTTTTTACAATATCACATTTGTCACCTTATAATGTAAATACTCTTCACGCATCATACTTCATAATTCATGCAAAAAATCTCTGTAATATATTTGCAAGATATAAAAGTCTAATTAAACACTCAGAAATCTTGACTATGCATGATAGAAATGGGCAAATACAGTCAGGCACTTTCTAGCCAACAACCCATAGAATAGAATAGAATAGAATAGAATAGAATAGAAATTTGACACTGAACATTCACACATATATATATATATATATTAAAAAGTTCAGTTAATAAAATGAGAATGTGCACTGAAAAGAACTGGTGTATAGGATTTACTTTGAAACAATTTTCCCTCAGAAACTGTTAGTAGATTTCACAAATAATTACAAAGAAACAGCACATTGTACACAAAAATAGCACACTGAAATAAACATTACATTTTGAAAGTCTGAAAAAGTATTTTATTTATTTATTTATTGTAAAATGTGCTCCAATAATCTTTTTTTTTTTTCTACAGTGTATTACTGATGAAGGAAAAGTTATCAACAAATTCAGAAATGTAATAGTCACCCACTGATACACACACATGCAAAACAAACAGAAAAATGCCACTATGTGCCCATCAGGAATAAAATGAAGAATGGATTGTCTTCTTTATATATGACTGTGGCCAGTCTGATAAACACTGGAGCTGAACAGCAGAACTGTGTCTGGCTCCATGGGGACCATATTGATTTCTCTGCTGCAGAGCTATTGACAGGAAATGCTGGACAGTCTACAGTGGCTCAGTCTTTCATAAAGTACACAATTTATTTATAAAAACCCTGCAAGCCTATACAAATATAATAATTCAAAATTATATGATGAAGCAAAGACAAATATTTGTTCCTACGCAAGCAAAACAGCCCCAAAAGACAACCACCTCCATAGACAGATACTTATCCAACAATTTGGGGTATTTCAAACTGCTTTTGAGATTCAAACGAGAGGGGGACATAGATGAAGAAAGAGAGGATTTTCAAAAGAAGTAAAAAGGTAGGGAAATGGTTTTGGCAGTGTTTCAGGATCTGGGTCTGAAGGATGTTTAAGGAGCGGGCCTTCCCGAGCCAGCCTTCCAGTCTCACTATAATTACTACAGTGGCTGACAGACATAGTGCTTAAAGAAACAAAACAGAGACAGGATTAAGAATAAACAGCAATACGTCTACAAGCCAAACTCTACACACAGAAATGTATATATCACAGACACATTACATACTGTACATACATGGACTTTAAATAATCTAAGAGTTATATGGACTGCTGAATGATTTAAATGAAGGAAAGGGGGTGAAAGAAAGTAAATGCTAAATATTATATTTAGATAATTACCTGATGACAGAATGATTTATGATGCTGTCTACTTTTATTTCACCCACAATGCTTCATATTTTTCGAGACTGTATGGGAATAAAGAATAAGAAACAGAGACATGTGGGGAAAAAAGAATCAGCTGATATGTAATTAAATGTTTTATGTGACATCATAATGGCGCCTCTGCATTTGTTGGTTTAATCTGCTTTAGTTCTTTTCCTAAGGGCCTCAAATCTCTATTGTGCCATTGAGATTTAATTAAGTTGATCCTTTCAAGCCTTAGTCAGGCAGGCTTTTTTCCATGGATTCAATAAGCAATAACTTTACAAACTTTACAGTGGTGATTTAACATGCATTCATTCATTTTAGTAGATTAGCTTAAATACACCCAAAAATGATTATCTCTCTTTTCATAAAAAGGTAGTGTTTGTCATGTACAAATTAAATCCACAGTCACTCAAACTGGTGGCTGCTGCACTGTAAATCTAATAACGGAAGTATATGAAAAATTTGTGTTGTAATTCACTTATCTGATTCATCTATTTGTCCTTATTTTCGAATGTACCTTCAACTCAAAGCACAAGATTGCCAAATCGAGATACACAAGTTAATTATATTAGGCATCTCAAAGAAAGGCAATTGTTTGATTTTACAGCGTGTCGTAGTTAAATTGGGTGCACAGAACATTCTCTAGGAAAATCAGTTCTGTTTACATATGCAAAGGGCAAATATTTGAGTTAATTCTTTGCAAGTTGCACGAATGAATCCCAAACTGGTATGATCTGGTGTGGCTGAAACCAAATTAGAGCAGCACTGGCTGAGCCAAAATCACCACACACACTCAGAAATCCAGTTCACTGTGAGGTCAGCCCACCATGGAGTTAAAAACACCACGGCTAGAAACACAGCTGAGAGCCATTCCGACAGTGATCCTGCTTCGAGAATGTGACAAATGAGATCAATTAGAGACAGAAACTAAAAAACATTCATGCATATAGGAGAACAGACAATATTATTCAAGTTGATTATGCTGTTGAGAAACCCTGAGAAGTGTGGGAGAATGCAGTGTTGATTTAAAAAGTTTAATCTATTCAAATCCTCCCGGAAAAGCAGCATCAACTATTGAGGAGACAAACAAGCTAAATGCAAATGCTTTTAGCTTTTTTACTTTTCCGTTTCCCTGCACAGATATAAATGTTCAAAGGTGCTTTTTCTCTTCTGTCTCCACAGTCATAATATGGTGTGCACAGAGCTGAAGAACATGTCTGGAGCAGGGCGGCCGGGGCAGTGTGGCGCAGGGATAAATGTCTATGTTGCTTTCTGGGAGTCCTGTTTTAAAAGGGATGAGGTGGGGCCAGGCAGACTGCTGAGTAAGCTAGCCGCTACGCGGTCGCCCTCTAGAACAAACAACGGCACCAAAAGAAAGCTTCCCTGAACCCCAATGCATTGCAACACTGGAAACAGAGCTGTGACACTTAATGTGATGTGTGAGCAAAGTAATGGTCACTTTGTACTTTCAAAAATGGAATGAAAGCATTTCATTCTCCTGAAACTATACTACAGATGGTTTGAAGAACACTACATGGCCTGTTCTACTGACAAATTAAGTACTTGAACTTTGGAGCTAATTGAAAATATCTTTAGATAACAACCTTGACTCATATTTCACTGTGGAATTTTTGATATGCCATAACATTTTTATAGTTTCATTCATGAAGTCAGTCAAACATCAAACCTCTGTCATCAAAGACAAAAGACTCATGTCTGCAAGCTTAGCATTGATAATAAGGGTGAAATTAAACTAGAGGTAAATTTTTTGCTCATTTCCTGATATTGATAACAGCCAGCAAAAACAGACATAAAACATACTTCAACACTGATATTAATCCTCTGTAATATTAAAAGTACTAAGTTATTTTGACATCTATTGCTATTTTTACAGATCATATTAAAATAATTATTTCTTCCAATTTTCAAAAGGTGAAACAATAGTCCTATGTGTTTAAATTTGTATTTTGCTATTCATTGCATCGACTGATTGAATCATGCAGAAATATGTAAGATGGGGGAAGAACAATATCCATATACTGATAAACCGTAACATATTTAAATGAGTTTAGCATGTAGATGATTGTTATGCATCACCCAACAATGCTTTAAAGCATTTTTGACGTGCATATATTGATTTTTGAATCTTTTTAGTGTTGTTTTTGAGGGGGAAAAAACTCTGTCTCTGTGCAAACACTCAAATGAAATCCTGCAGGCACCCATGTATATATATATATATATATATATATAAAATCAAAGTAGTACAATATTACAAGAATCAATATAAATTCCAAAAATGGCACATTGTAACACACAGAATTCCAAAGTGTATTTCTTTTGTTTTTATTTCCTCTGTCCATCCATAGACATTGCACCATACATAAATAATTATGTTGTAAAAATGACTCAGTATTTACAAGTATTCCATATAATATGTTTATATAAAACTTTATATTAAATTTAGATAGATTACATTTGGGATTGTGGCTGCGGGTGTCTGAGCGTTTGTAGTGAGTGTGTGCAGGGTGTGGTAAGAGCGATGTATATGTCTGCATTTGTTGATATGTATATGCTATCTGTGGTTGTTCAGTAAAATCTCTAACCAGCATGGGCATGATGTAATAAACTGTCTTGAGTAGCATGGTCCCCAGCCCTTGGCAAAACTGATCCTCACACTGTTTGGGTCGTATGGCCCTTCCATGTGCACCAAATCGCTGGGGGGTTGAATTTGGCACGATTTCTCATAGTCAAAAACTTTTAAGGAGTAGCCTGGCATGACTCTCCTCACAGTCAAACTCAGGTAGGGGTGATGTTCCAGAGTTGGGGAATTCACAAATATAGGGTGCTGACTGCGGTTGTAGGCCCATACTCCATCTGGCTCTTTGCTGAGGAGGATGCCGTGTCCGATCTTGCCACGGGTGCGCTGGACGGAGGTGGAACGCGGAGAGAGGGGGAGCAGGCCCAAGCACAAGCCTGTACCCTGAGGTAGGTCATAGAAGATGCTAAGAGAGGAGTCATGAACTGGGTACAGACGGCCCACGCGTGTACGAAGCTCCCAGTATGCCACGTTACACCAGTGATTCTGAGCCAGGGAGGAGGAAGACACATTGACATCTGTGAAAGAAAAAAAAACATAAGAAACTTGAATTTCAAAAAAGTGCACTAAACAAAGGACACAAAACATAAAAACCAATATTTATATATTTATACTTTTTCAAAGAAAAGAGCTTCTACAGTAATTTTTCCATTTAGTTGGAAAAATTATTTAAATCTATTTATTGTAAAATCATAAAAAAATATTTCACTTATTTATTTATTTTTTTTATAATTTAATAATGATATGATGAATGACTGATGAAAAAAACCCAGAAACATAATAATTATAAATTGTCATTGTTGTTGTTGTTAATATTACTATAATACTGAATAGAAATCATTTTAGGAATGTTGCTACAATCTGGCATGTTTATATTTTGATGATATACTAACGTGCATTGTCCTTATTAAATAAACAAATTAATAAAATAAATTAAATATTTTTTGCAAATAAATAAAGCTAATATTAGAATTGAATTCATTTAAAAATGTTCTAAATATTTATTTTCTTTTTCTTTATTTGACCAAGTTTGAGGATGATTAGTTAAAAAAAACTGGAAATATATAATTATTATTATTGTGGTCGTTGTTGATATAACTATAAAGCTGGATAACAATGAATACAGCATTGTTCCTATAATCGGGATATTTACTTTTTTTTAATGCAGATGTTCATTAATGTGCATTGTCCCAATTAAATTAACAAACAAATAAATGATACTTACAATTAAATATAATTAAAAATTATATTAAATATAATACTTATTTAAAATAACTATTTTTTAACTTTTTTGTGTAAAGTTTCATCAGGTTTTGTGTTTCTGAAAGCCACTGGTGTCCCAGTGGCGCACTTCTTTCTACAGTAATGTGTTGTCATGACAAGTAATGTCAATGTTTTGACCACTCTCATTTCACCTCCCTTATTCTTTTTGATGGTACACAGTACATATTATTCTTTAAATCTCCAATCCTATCAGGAGAGGATTCGAAACTGAAGAAGCAACGACCCCCACTAACAGGCCCAAATCTGTCATCTCTGACTCTAACACCCCCCACTTGCTCCTGCCTCAGCATTCCTCTCTCCCTGCGCGGGGCCGACTGGGGCCCCCTCTCCCCCTCCGAGGGCCAGCATTCAGCTCTCTGACCACTCAGTGAAGGCTTGCGACCCCCCGACCCCCCAGCCGCCAGCCTATCCAGTCTGATTAACTCAAACACAGACTGATGGCATTATTTTGCTTCACAGGCTCTATTGAGGGAGAAGATCTAAAGCCCTGGGCCTGTGCCCTCATTCTGCTCAGCCTCAACCCTCTCTGGCCCAAACAGACAGCAGAGGACACACTGTTAATGAAGTAAATTTTGTTTAAGGAGGGGTACTGAAATCCATGATCATTATCTCAGATTCTCTGGCCGCTCACTTAGTATGTGCTTTCAAATATATAAAAAAAATGTTATGCAAGTAAAAGACAGAAAGGAAGGACATATAATTTTCATAAAGATTAGCATAAAACTAACTTTCTTCCTGGATTTAAAATAAATACAATGGAAAAACTATGCAAAATAGGAAACCAATGCAAAAGACCTATCAGAAGTCAGCGGGAAAATAATCTTTTCATCTGCTTTTCATAGAGTGCCTCATTGTTTAATTTTCATATTTAACTTACTTGGATCGTATGCAAAGACAGCCAAATCACATATTTGCTGCCTAGTTTAATCCTGTAAGCAATGCCATTGTTATGATGACGTTTAGGAACTTTCAACCTCTCCTTTAGTAAGTTGCTCTGTTTTGCATGCACTGCTCTGTTGTTAGTGCCTGCAAAAGCATTCTTGGTGCTTGTGTGCCTAGCCTAAACCAACACCACAAAATGAGAGGGGGAAGGAGAGGATGGAGTCTTGTCTGTCCTGCTGTGCCAAATATTAGATCTCCCTCCACATATTAGACCCTTCCACTGAGCCAGTGAATGGTGGGGGAGCTTAGAGGGGTGATAATGGAAGGCATTATTTTGCTTCACAGGCTCTATTGAGGGAGAAGATCTAAAGCCCTGGGCCTGTGCCCTCATTCTGCTCAGCCTCAACCCTCTCTGGCCCAAACAGACAGCAGAGGACACACTGTTAATGAAGTAAATTTTGTTTAAGGAGGGGTACTGAAATCCATGATCATTATCTCAGATTCTCTGGCCGCTCACTTAGTATGTGCTTTCAAATATATAAAAAAAATGTTATGCAAGTAAAAGACAGAAAGGAAGGACATATAATTTTCATAAAGATTAGCATAAAACTAACTTTCTTCCTGGATTTAAAATAAATACAATGGAAAAACTATGCAAAATAGGAAACCAATGCAAAAGACCTATCAGAAGTCAGCGGGAAAATAATCTTTTCATCTGCTTTTCATAGAGTGCCTCATTGTTTAATTTTCATATTTAACTTACTTGGATCGTATGCAAAGACAGCCAAATCACATATTTGCTGCCTAGTTTAATCCTGTAAGCAATGCCATTGTTATGATGACGTTTAGGAACTTTCAACCTCTCCTTTAGTAAGTTGCTCTGTTTTGCATGCACTGCTCTGTTGTTAGTGCCTGCAAAAGCATTCTTGGTGCTTGTGTGCCTAGCCTAAACCAACACCACAAAATGAGAGGGGGAAGTAGAGGATGGAGTCTTGTCTGTCCTGCTGTGCCAAATATTAGAGCTCCCTCCACATATTAGACCCTTCCACAGAGCCAGTGAATGGTAGGGGGAGCTTAGAGGGGTGATCATGGAAATGCCACGATGAGAACTGCCAGAGAACTCTAGAACACTTCTAGTATTTTCACAACTCTAGAACAATAGCAGTGGTCTAAATTGTTCAGCCCCAAAAGTAAGCCAACATCTTTCTTTCTTTCTGTGCGTCTAAAGCTTTATTCTAAGATAACACTTGAAGGGGCAATTCACCCAAAAATTTAACTTCTATCATCATTTACTCATCCTTCTTTAAAACATGAATAACATTTTGTTTCTTCTGCGGAACATCAAAGACGACATTTTTTATTTTTTTTAAATCCATACAGTGAAAGTCAACGGGGTCCAAGGTTGTTTTGGATCCCATTCACTTATATTGTATAGACAAAGCAGTCAAAACATCCTTCAAAACATAACTCCTTTGTGCTCTAAAGAAGAAAGTAAGTCATACAGGTTTGGAATGACATGAGGGTGAGTAAATGATGATAGAATTTTCATTTTGGATGAACAATCCCATATCCTTCATTTTTAGTGACATAATACATGGAAATTAGGCATACATACACACTTCCTTATACTGAAGGACAAATCTTTTTTTTTTGCAAGTCATTTTGTTACTCATTCCTCTGGATGATGAATTTGTGGTTGACTGCATATTGATCCCTATCTAAGATGAAGCTAACAGCTCGTGTCAGGATGAAAAAGCAAAATGATTTCTCCCTGTCACAATACTGAGGAGAAACTGAGAGAAATATGCAGACAGACACATGCGATCACGCATAAACGCAATTACAATAAATCAGCCAAAAAACTTAACTAGATCTAAAAAGCCTTAATATGCATGCCCCTTAAAAAACAGGGGCAAATAATTTTCCAACAATTGATAGAGTCGGTTCTTTGTCAACATCTGTAAAGAATCTCTGCAGAGACAGGCAGGATTTCATTAGTTAAACTGCGTGTTGGCCTGTGCTCTGTCAGGAAGAGGGGAAGCCACAGTGAGGCCTGTAATTTAAACCTTATTTTAAAATGCAACTGGCTGGCTGTGCCAGGGCTTGCATTGCAAAACTCAGCAGGAAGCAACAACATGAAAATAATGGAGGAAAGAACGTATGTGACACACCAAGAGAGGATCTTGTTCCTTGTCTTCAGAGCTCTATATGCTGGGTAATAATAAACACAGTACTGTGAGACACAGCAGATAAGAGCTCAGGAGGCCCCGAGTCCCCCAGTGAGCATCCTGACAAAACTGCCCATTGTTGCTCATAATCTAATTTTGACTCAGTGCTGAAAAGTTGGTGGATGACGTCTAAGAATTTCAAGAACCATCAAATAGGCACTGAGAGTTTATGTTCGGAGGTGAATGTTTGTATGAATGATAGAGAAAGGACTGCTTAGCTGACCAAATGCTAACAAAAAGCTAACCGTTTGAAAACCTTTGAAAACCTCAAGTCTGAACCAAAGCATCACATTCAGTATACACACTAACATAATTTATATAAAAAAAAAGACTGGAGTTGGTAAGATTTTTTGTTTTTGAAAAAAGTTTTTTGTTTTCTATATTTATATACTAAAAATTATTTTTATGCATTTAAAATTGAATATATTTAAATGTATTCCTGTGACGGCAAAGCTGAATTTTGAGCAGTATTATATTTAGTGCTGCTTATAATTAATACTGAAAATAGTTGTGCTGGTTAATATTTTTGTGGAAACGGATACATTTTTCTTCAGGATTCTTTGTTGAACAGAATGTTCAAAAGAACAGCATTTATTTGAAATAGAACTTCTGCAACATTTTAAGTGTAGCATAAGCATAAGTATAATTGTTCAGCCCCAAAAGTAAGCCATCTTTCTTTCTTTCTGTGCGTCTAAAGCTTTATTCTAAGATAACACTTGAAGGGGCAATTCACCCAAAAATTTAACTTCTATCATCATTTACTCATCCTTCTTTAAAACATGAATAACATTTTGTTTCTTCTGCGGAACATCAAAGACGACATTTTTTATTTTTTTTAAATCCATACAGTGAAAGTCAACGGGGTCCAAGGTTGTTTTGGATCCCATTCACTTATATTGTATAGACAAAGCAGTCAAAACATCCTTCAAAACATAACTCCTTTGTGCTCTAAAGAAGAAAGTAAGTCATACAGGTTTGGAATGACATGAGGGTGAGTAAATGATGATAGAATTTTCATTTTGGATGAACAATCCCATATCCTTCATTTTTAGTGACATAATACATGGAAATTAGGCATACATACACACTTCCTTATACTGAAGGACAAATCTTTTTTTTTTGCAAGTCATTTTGTTACTCATTCCTCTGGATGATGAATTTGTGGTTGACTGCATATTGATCCCTATCTAAGATGAAGCTAACAGCTCGTGTCAGGATGAAAAAGCAAAATGATTTCTCCCTGTCACAATACTGAGGAGAAACTGAGAGAAATATGCAGACAGACACATGCGATCACGCATAAACGCAATTACAATAAATCAGCCAAAAAACTTAACTAGATCTAAAAAGCCTTAATATGCATGCCCCTTAAAAAACAGGGGCAAATAATTTTCCAACAATTGATAGAGTCGGTTCTTTGTCAACATCTGTAAAGAATCTCTGCAGAGACAGGCAGGATTTCATTAGTTAAACTGCGTGTTGGCCTGTGCTCTGTCAGGAAGAGGGGAAGCCACAGTGAGGCCTGTAATTTAAACCTTATTTTAAAATGCAACTGGCTGGCTGTGCCAGGGCTTGCATTGCAAAACTCAGCAGGAAGCAACAACATGAAAATAATGGAGGAAAGAACGTATGTGACACACCAAGAGAGGATCTTGTTCCTTGTCTTCAGAGCTCTATATGCTGGGTAATAATAAACACAGTACTGTGAGACACAGCAGATAAGAGCTCAGGAGGCCCCGAGTCCCCCAGTGAGCATCCTGACAAAACTGCCCATTGTTGCTCATAATCTAATTTTGACTCAGTGCTGAAAAGTTGGTGGATGACGTCTAAGAATTTCAAGAACCATCAAATAGGCACTGAGAGTTTATGTTCGGAGGTGAATGTTTGTATGAATGATAGAGAAAGGACTGCTTAGCTGACCAAATGCTAACAAAAAGCTAACCGTTTGAAAACCTTTGAAAACCTCAAGTCTGAACCAAAGCATCACATTCAGTATACACACTAACATAATTTATATAAAAAAAAAGACTGGAGTTGGTAAGATTTTTTGTTTTTGAAAAAAGTTTTTTGTTTTCTATATTTATATACTAAAAATTATTTTTATGCATTTAAAATTGAATATATTTAAATGTATTCCTGTGACGGCAAAGCTGAATTTTGAGCAGTATTATATTTAGTGCTGCTTATAATTAATACTGAAAATAGTTGTGCTGGTTAATATTTTTGTGGAAACGGATACATTTTTCTTCAGGATTCTTTGTTGAACAGAATGTTCAAAAGAACAGCATTTATTTGAAATAGAACTTCTGCAACATTTTAAGTGTAGCATAAGCATAAGTATAAGCCATTTGATATTCAGGTTCAACAAAGGCAGTAGTTACTGAACACACTTTCCCCCCCTTTTAAATGCATTAATTTACTTAAGACTTGCACACCAACCTGAATAGTCCTGCGATATGCCACCGAGTGAACGCGTGGCTTCGATTTCTATGTAAGGCATCACTGGGAGGGAAGAATCTGCAAAATGACAAGATAAAAAATTGTATCTTTTCTCCATTTGACTGCTGTTAAAATACATGCCATACAGGGTTAAAACAACATTATTTCAAGGAATCTTTGCTTACACGAACTGAGAAAGACAAAATTACTTACTCAGTGGCTTATGTTCTGGTAAGGGGGATAAATGGGAGTAGGGAGGAGGCGGTGTGTCTGAAAATAGGGAGAACGGAGTTAGATTTTTCTTTTAATTGAGCATCCCTCTAAAACTGAACACATCTCTGACTTTTCAAGGCTATATTACCAGACCTAAACCTAGAGATATAATACTGTGACAGCATTTGGCACAGTTTCTCCAGCATTTCTACAGCAAATGAGAATGTTCCCAGCTGGTATGGAAATTACAGGTGAAGAAAAGCATCCATCAAAAAGACAATGGATGTGTCGTCATATGCCAAGAATGCATGGAATCCAATCAAAAGTGACCTGTTCTGAATCACATTATTACAGCGGGTGGAAACACTGCAATTTTGCTAATGCAGAGAATGAAATCTTCATGAAAAACACTTAATGTATCAGACTTTAAAACTATTAACCACTGAATATTAGTGTTGGTGCTAATGGACTGTAGTAACATTTTGTATGCATGTCAAGGTCTCTTGTAGGACTACAGTGCAATTCATACTGCTTTAGACATTTATTTTTGATGTATGGTTGTGCAGTCACTAAACCAGCATGTTACATGTTTAAAGTGTGTATTCTTTCATGACCCTCTTCAAAGACCATTGTTCAATCAATTCTGTTCTTTATCTACAACAGTTCATTTAAACACAATGTTAGGGTAGTGTTTTTTTGAATAGGGAGGGAGCAGAGAAATTGAGAATCCCAGAGGGATTCTAGTTGGGAACTCCGCTTCCTGAACAGGAGTATCACTGTCCCAACTCCCCTCCCTATCATTCACCCACGCTTCGAGTAAAAATCACACTTATATTAGTTTTGCCTGATTTGATGCTACAAAACTACGATAACACTTAAACCACCAGAAGATGGTTTGCTAGTCTTAGCTAGTTTAAAATGGTCTTAAATGGTTTAAGACGGTCTCCTGGCCTAGGTAAACGTGGACTTCCGAAAAGTGCCCAAAACACCTCTAGAAGCATCAAAAAGACCAACCTGGATTGGCTGGGAGACCAACTGAGACCAGCAAACAAGTTCTGCTTTTTTCAGCAGGGCTGAAAACACACTTCAAATGAACAGCACAGTCATTATATCCTTGACTAAAAACATTCAGAGGTTTCCTTACCATCCCCGACTGGTCCACAGATGCGGCTGTAGTGATGGGGGTTGCAGCAGAGGGTCTGGCTGTCCTCTGCCCTGAAGCTCTGACAGTGACAGAGCGGTTTGAGGAGAGAGGAGAGCCGCAGGTCTGGCCAGCGGAAGAGTCGACACAGCAGGTACTGTGGAGACACCAGCTGACCTCCAATTCGCACTTCAGTCTGTGAAACCAGAACACATCCACTTGGCATCCCGCCTTGAGACTCCACAGCTTCCAGTAAAACATCCAGAGACTTCTCTTTCAACTTTTTGAGAAACGCATAAGTGCACTTCTTGAGTTCTTGCTCGGTCACGGCACCATTTTTCCGTTCCCTGCCACTCAAACTGCTGTAGTTGTTGTGGTTCCTATGTTCTACACGACAAGCAAGTCTGTTTTTGCCCCTGGGGCAGTGTATATATATATATATATATATATAAAACCCCTTTTTGCTTTGGTGAATGACACAGCATACTTAACAGACATTTAGGATGGTGAAAACCCTTGTTGCAAATTGTCAGCATCAAGAGCAAACTGCATAGTGCTCTTCCATTCCTACTTCAGTGGCAGAATCCTTGGGCTTTCTCCCTTCACTTATCATAGGGGGTGATAACTGTTGTAGCCTGGCGTCAGGCTAATGAGTCCAGCTACTCCCATTAAGTCTCTTAGATAGTCTATCAGCAGAAGTCTGGAGCAGAGACAGAGAGACCAGCACCAAACCACCCCCAAAAATAACCCCAGTCCATCCAGTCCGGACAGACATGGTCTTGTTGATGGGGTTTGCTCGGTCACGGCACCATTTTTCCGTTCCCTGCCACTCAAACTGCTGTAGTTGTTGTGGTTCCTATGTTCTACACGACAAGCAAGTCTGTTTTTGCCCCTGGGGAGGTCTCTAAACAAACAGCATGTTACCGTCCTGCCCTCGCTCCCCTCGTTGAGGGGTCCATCATGATCAATAAGGATCTCCGGTTCCCCGCGTTCCTCTACGCGTTTGCTGCACGAGCCCGCATTGTTTCCCGGTGCGTATTCCGTTCTGGGGATCTTCTCCGGGTTGCTGTCACTCCAGTCATCCGGACCACCATCTCCCCCTTCTTTACCTGCGGTGACCAAACGGCTTCTCCAGAGTCGCCGAACCAGACCCGTGCGTCTCGTCCTGAACATACGACAATTTAAACAGTTTGCATCCGTTTTTCCTATGTTTGGTGAGAACCGCGGAGACTCCAAACGCTCGTGCGCTCGCTGTCCGACATCGATGATCTGTGCTCACATGCACAGCCAAGCAGAGCCTGAGCAAAGCCCAACATTAGAGAGACAGAGAGACCAGCACCAAACCACCCCCAAAAATAACCCCAGTCCATCCAGTCCGGACAGACATGGTCTTGTTGATGGGGTTTAGCAAGACCCAACAGGAATAGCATGTCAACAAGCCCCATATTCCTAATGGACCTTAGGGAAAGAGGCGAGACAGTGGGAGACAGAAAAAGAGAGCACTCACATCCCTTAAGGCCTTTCCTCGGGTCCATACTACATACTGGATGGCGCTAGTTCCATGAATACGGCCAAAATGCTCTAGAGACAAAAACAAAGTCAAAATACATTCATATGACACAAGTACAACTAATATAAGCTGAAGTGAGTTGAGCTGAGATTGCATGAGTTGATTAAAATATCTCCAATTCAATTGAATGCGCAATTAGACAATGTAAAGAAGCTGTGTGGTAAGGACCTGATTTGTGACTGCTGGTGTAGCCTATGGTAGCAGGAAGTCGTAGCCACAGACAGACATTAGTGTAATCTGTCTCCTCTGGAAGGTTCTGGCAGTCAAAACAGAGTTTCGGAAAGGAAAACCTCATTTATGGTGAAGACAATGAGACAGCCAGAGACTTAAATGAATGTCCGCTGTGTAAATGTGATGCTTCTACATGGCAGGAATATGTATGAAAAAATTGAATATCCTTAACAAAAGCAGAATCCTCTACTCCTCTGGAAATTTTAATATTATGTCTAAATATATAGCTGACAATATTAACTAACGTTAACAATGAACAATGCATCCATTACAGTAGTTATTCATCTTTGTTGATCATACATATTACAGCTGTTCATTATTAGCTCAAGTCCATAAAAGTTTTTAAAGGGATAGTTCACTT